CTTCAAAGTAGGATTTCCTATTCTTTGTGCATATTATCCTGCATTGTCAACTCTGAGAAGGAAGAGATCATATCTTACCTAACCATTTTATCTTCCCTCAGTGCCTAACACAGTGCTGGACACAGATACTTAATAAATGTTTGTTGAATTGAACTGAACCTGTACAATTAGGTACTTGCACCAGGTGATGTTGAAATGTCTCTAAAAGACTATAGGAATTAGGGATGAGCACAATGTAGAGGAAGGAGTGCTTGATTTAGAGGCAGAGAACCTAGCTTCAAATCTTGGCTCTTCCACTTAATATCTGAGGTACAAAATGAAAGAGCTGGAATATGTGGCTTCTAAGTTTTCTTTCAGCTCTAAATCTACGATTCCAAATAAACCAGTATGTGCAATGGAAGGAAGAAAACAAGAATTTATATGATGCTTATTAGGTGCCAGGCATTGTGCCAAACACTTTACTAATATTATCTCATTTGATCCTCACAATAACCCTGGGAGGTAGGTGTTATTGTTATCCCCCTTCTATAGTTGGGAAAACTGAAGCAAATAGAGGTTAAGTGACTTGCCCAGGGTCACACAGCTAGTAAGTATTTGAGGCAGAATTTGAACTTGTCTTTCACTTAGTTGTAACTGTCAAGAATAATATAAATGTCAGCTATTATTCCTTGCTTCTGGTTCTCCCCATTAGCTACTTGCCAATTTAGTCTTACTCCACCCGCAATATCCCTCTCCTAGTTTCACAAAGGGTTTATCAGCTTTTGCATTTGATAATGTAGACAGCTGTCTCTTTCAGGGAGGCCATAACTGTTAATTCCAGGATTAGTCACAGATGTTGTATCATATGTTAATTGTATTCTTTCCTATCACCACCTGTGCAGCCCCTCCCACCTTCCTCACTACAATCCTTTTGGGGTAGATGGTGCTGGCATAATTATTCCCACCTCATATAAGAGGAAACAGGTTCAGAAAAGCAAGGTGATTTGGCCAAGGACAAGAGCTGAGAAGTAACAGCTACCAGCCCTCATGTTCATTTTGGAGGAGGATGAAGAGGGAGCAGACCCAAGACCGATTTAATTGTTAAGGCACAGAGTAGGCCAGGTGACAAAAGGGAACCCATATCTACTTGCATAAAGACCACATTTGTTATGCTGGTTTTCTGGCAAGTAAATAAGGGATTTGGCGGCCGCCGTGAGAAACTTTCAATGGACAATGAGATATGCATCAGGCATCAGGGAACATCTGGCAGCAGGCAGGGCTAGCAGGCGGCAAGGAAAAGGAGAGAGCAGAGAAGGTGATGGGAGGTAGAAGTAATGAGGATAAAATGAGGATAAAAATGGCAAGAGGTAGAAGACATGGGAAGGTGGAAAGGAAACATCTCCTTGCTTAATAAACACGCTTATTCAGCCTGTTCTTTGTTGTTGGTCTTTTTTTTTTTCACCCAGCTCCCAAATAAGAATAGGGCAATGACATAAGAGTGATTGTTATACCAGTAAATATAGGATGTGTAGAAAAGAGTCAACAATCATAGAACTGTGAAGTTGGAAGGCACCACTCAAAATCACGATCCCCATCCTTGACAACTATTATCCATTCTCTGTTAAAACACTTCCAGTGACAAAGAACTTACTACCGTAGAGACATGTCATTTCAGTTTTGGACAGCTCCCATTGTTAAGAGGTTGCTTCCTTACCTTGAGCTGAAATCTGAAATCCGTCTCCCATGATGTACAAAAACTTCACTAGGATAGGGCCCCCTGACACCAGAGGGAATTTTCATTTTGCTAAATCAAACTGGGTCCTGCCCTTTTCTCTCTCTCCCAGACTGGATTCAAGAGGCCAGATCAGTGACATTCAAACCCCTGCTGTCCAACAATGTTTCAGTTTCTCCTTCTTAAGTTTCCTCTACCCATAGAGCTTTATGCTCATTGGGACCCAGAATATTAATGATGATAATAGCTATATAATACACAGTGCTGTATGTTTGCAGAGCGCTTAAATATATAATTTCATTTGATCCTCACAGCAGTCCTTCGAAGTAGCTTCAGTTACAGGCTTTATTAGTCCCATTTTACATGTGAGAAAACTGAGGCTCTGAAAAGTTAAGTATGTTGTTCAAATTCACCCACCCAGACAACACTTGAGGTAGGCTTCTGCTGCATCATGCTCCTGTAAGACGCCTAAATCATAGAATTCTAGGATTTTAAACTGGAAGCAACTTTAGAGATTATCCAATCTAAGCCCCTTACTTTATAGATGAGGAAAGTGAGGCTCAGAGGAGCAAAGTGGCTTATCCAAGATCTCACAACTGGTATGTGGCAGAGTCAGGATTTGAACACAGGATATCTGATTTTTAAGCCCAGTAATTTATCTGATTCCACATAGCTCCTCTATGAAAGATAGCCCCCATAATAGTATAGATATTGCTAATTTTAATAATATCTGATTTGAAACTCAAAATAGCCTAGTGAGGTGATTTAGATATGCCCTGTTTGGACAGATTATTATACCTTCATTTGACTGATGAGGAAATGATGCTTTAGCTTGGGTCATGGATTCAGAGCTGGAAGGGACCTTAGGGGCCCTTCATTTTGCCAATGAGGAACTGAGGCTAAAGCCCAGAGTCAAACAAAGCTAGTCTCTGAGGAGGGATTTGAACTTAGGCCTTTTTTTTTTTTTTTTAGGCAGTTGGGGTTAAGTGACTTGCCCAGGGTCACACAGCTGGTAAGTGTCAAGTGTTTGGTCTGAGGCCAGATTTGAACTCAGGTCCTCATGACTTAAGGGGTGGTGCTCTATCCACTGGGCCACCTAGCTGCCCCACTGAGCCCAGGTCTTCTTGACTTCAAGCAAAGCACTCCATTGGTATGCCACGCTGTCCTCTGAGATAGGCAGCGCAAGGACTATTATTCAGTTTAGAAATGAGGATGCTGAAGGTCCTAAGAGGGGATCAAAATGACTAAAATCACTAGATAATAGTAATGTTAGGTAGGGTGTGCCAGGTCTAGACTTCATGAAAGGTGACAGTCTTAAGGGGAAGAAACATGGAAGGCCAAGGAGGCTTTTAGATGCAAAGAAAACTTTTCACGCTCAAGAAAAGTTGGAGGTTCAACCAGTTCAATTGCATGTGAAGAGAGCAGCAAGACTGATGAGTTTGTTCCTGGGCAGGGACTACTTTAGCAGCACCTTTCTGCCAGAGCTATTAAGAAGCACCTAGATGCATCTATGACTTTTTATTCCCTGGGCCCTTTTAAGGATCAAGGAAATAGTCAGGAGGAGCACTGAAGGAAGGAAATGAAGAGAGAAGGCAAAGAACTTGGATGGGCTACGGAAGCAGCAATCAGCGCCTATGTGCAAAACAAAGGGTATCAGCAGTGCCATGGCTAGCTCCTTGCTAGTGAGTAACACTAATAAAATTAGCTTTCCCTTTACTATTCAGAGGGCAGAAAAGGCCATGCATCACATAATTGGTGATTTTTGTTGAGATGGGTATCAGGCAGGGTGTGAGCAGCGCAGTGTTTTGGAAAGAATACAATGTCTTTAAGCCATTGATAAAAAGTGTTAAATACCATTCATTGGCAGAGCCAGGATATCTATATTTGAACCTGGCTCTGTCACTTCTCAATGGTGTGATTCTGTGTAAGTCACTTAAACTTCCCTGAACTTCAATTTCTTCATTAATGAGATCTCTCTCTCTCTCTCTCACTCTCTCTCTCCCTCTCCCTCTCCCTCTCCCCCCCTCAATTTTTCACTCTGTCCTGGTTCACCTCTCCAAAGGCAGACTACTAGTAGCCCTCCATTTCCAAGGGCTTGCCATGTTGAAAGGCTTGTCAGACTCATTTGCAGACACTCAATTGGGTTTACCTACTATAGCTCAGAATTCCAGAACCCAAGGGATCTACCAGCCTCAGCAACCCTCAGTAGAATTTTCCACTACCATGCCTGGCCTAAAATGGATCTCCTAGAGATCCATGAGAGTTCAGCCTAAATATCTACACAGGAAAAGCCAAGTGGATGAAGAGAAAAAGAATGCAGACCTGTATTGTTGGAAAGAGTACCCATATTAGTGAAATCACAAATCCACTGAGTTATCCAAATTAAAAAAGAGGGTAACAGTACTTGCCTAGTCTACCTCCCAGGAATATAGTGGGGAAAAGGCCTTGTAAATTCTGAAGTACAGTTTGAATGAAAGTGATTATTATTTTCTCTACTCTTACCAAATAGTTTTGTCACTTGGTGGCAGGTAGATGGGGCTGGGTAGGCATATTTTTGTTTGTTTGTTTGTTTGCAAAGGATTGGGGGTAGTGACTTACTAAGAGGATGGTGGGAGGGAGGAGTATAAGATTTGCTGAAAGGAAAGAGATGACTAAATGAGGTCCAGGAATTATAAGAAATCAGCAGGACAGTAACTGGGGTTTGCTCCCCTGGCATGTTCTTTACTTTTATGTCTATACTGGACCATGACTTCTTAAGGAGACCCAAGCTTTATAGGCCTCTTTTATCTAGACCAGAGCATTAGTTCAACCAGCACAAAGTTGATACTTGGTCAAGACTTTGATACATATAAATGGGTACTTCTCTGCAGTTCTCTCCATGCTAGGCCACCAGTAGAATGCTCCCAGCCAAGCTCCTTACCCCAGACCTCACCCCAGTTTGGTTTGGGTCCAGAGACTATTTTGACACTCTGATTTTGTCAAATTCAGTGGTTTTAGAGAACACAGAGGTTTGGGTCAGCATGGTTGATTAGTTGTGATGGGTTTACTTTTTTCTTGTAGGGGAATATATGGCTCCCAGTTTAGATCAAGTCCCTTCTCCATCCCTGTAGTCCCAAGAGGGGAATTCACATTCTTAATAATTTCTTGGGTCTAGAGTGAATCAAAAGGTAGTTTTAGTGTTTCCTTTGAATACGCAGAAGTTGGTAGAAACCTCCTCTTACCCCAACCCCCCACCCTTCACTTCCCTCCTCCTTCCAGGTTTCTGCTTCTTCATGAAGCTCTTGCTTACCTCTTTGGATCTCTTGGAAATAAGAATGAATCCATTGTTATCTATGACAAAGCAGTCCAGGTCCTGGGGGAGGAGAAGAAATATACCATCATGGTCAGATTTGGTTAGGAGAATCCCGATTTCCCAATTCCTTCTGCCCTGGTTTGAGTTTGGGGCTCTAGAAATGAGCTGCATCTCTTTCATCTCATTCCCCTAACCAGTTCTACAGCATTGGGGTAAAGGCAGGGGTATTTAAAGAGGGAACTTGGCCTCTTGTGAGTGCTTGGGTTCATGTAACTGTTCATAGCAATTCTGTGATGACTTCTACTCCTACCCTTTATGCTCTGGGAAATCCATGGAAAAACTCACACTGTCCTGACAGCTCAGTGAGCAGATCCCATTCACTTGGCTGCACTAGAATAAAAAAAAAAGACATGTGCATGCTTGTACTCCTTCAAGTGCTATACTCTTTGAGGAGATGTGCTAAAGTGAGGCAAAGGACCCTCCCTGGCTAGAGGCCTAGCCTTTTCTTAAACCACTCTGGCCCATCCTGAAAGATGGTATCTACTCATGAGCCATTCCCAAATACCAGGAAGGACACCCAGTATTAAGGTGATAATTCATGACATGAAACTTATAGGATTAAAGGCACTTTTCCCCTGCTATTCAAGGCTGATGGGGTGAGTGTATCTCAGCTAAAATAGACTTTTTCATCTCCCCTCTTCCCCCCCCCCCATGCTTCCCTCCCCACCCTCCACACCTTTGACCATTTCCCTGTAGCACCAGGGTCTCTTAAACCTTCCCAAAGTGAGGGCTAGAAGCAAATGCCTAGAGAATCTTTGGAGCAAATGGAAGAGGAGAGGGAGAAAACTGATAGGGAAAGACACAAGGGCTGGGAGGAAACTGGAGAGGGAAGGAGGAGGACCTGTTGTGTCGAAGGAAGGTGAGAATCATA